TAAGAGTCAAAAGTTGTGAACACTGCTGCACAGTATTTGCCATGCCTCTCTTTGTACCAATTTTGTTTCAAATTTAACTCCGACCCTTCACCAGAGGGTTTCCAATTCTCCCCAGGCACACAGCCTGGGATGGGAGGACACATGCTCATGCTGAAAGACAGGAGACTACATGGCATGAGGGCCATGGAAACCCCAGTACACCATCTCAAAAGTGGAACAGGATCATCAACTTGAGTGAGATTCGAAACCTAAATTTGGTATGCCAGACCATTTTGGGTTTCGGGATTTTCTAAGTTTATTTCCCTTTTATTCTGATTTAATAGCTTCAGAATCTATTAAGAAAGACAGACACTGGGGGCCACATGTGCACAGAAAATGGGAGTGGGGCCACATGTCTGGGGCACCAATAGTAGTGAAGTGAGGGTCCTCAGGGCACCAAAGCTGGGCCAGTCACCCAAGGATATGGCTCTTGGGGATAATCCAGAGATTTCATTTGTTACAAGTTCCCCTGGCCCCCCTGCACAAAGCCACAAGCATATCGGGCAGTGTTTCCTTCTGTTGGACCAAGGTTACCCTAACAACCGTACCAAGCCTTCCTGGGACACACTCTGCTCAACTCCAATTATACCCACACTGCTTCCCCAATGAAGCTCACCGGCTCCCTGAGCCCTCAGTAACTCCGCAGCAAACCCTCGAGGAACGCTAACCAGGCCACCAACATCCAATCCCATTACACCACAGGATAAGCAAATGCCTAATTCTTCTTATCTGCCTGACTGTAGTCGCAAATATCCTGCATGAGTTCAGAGTTCTTCCCTATCACACTAGCCCTGCCCTTGAGAAGACTCTGAATGTGGGTTTTCTTGTCCAAAGATGCCACTAGGTGGGCTCTGAAGCCAAGTTTGGACAGCACAGGATTGGGGGGCAAGGGGAGGGGGGGGCCACGGATGACCACAGAGTCAGGCTCCAGAGGCACCAGCTGCTATCTTGAGCAGTTTACACAGCCCCCCAGCATTCCACGCTGCAGAGACAAGAACAATCCCCAGCCAAGCACCAGGAGGACTGAAAGCAGGTCTACTGCCATCTGGCTGCCCTCACAAGTGTAGCTCCCTCCTCTCTGGCTTCCTGCAAGAAGACCCCTAGTGCCCCCCAGAGGGCAGCAGACACCTGCAGAGCACTGCGCTGCAAGCAGAGGCCCAGGACACAGGCTAGATAGACCCCCACCCTCAGTCTCACCATTCGTGCAGGGTCTTGACGATATTGTGGATGTCCTTCTTGCGGATGTCCCGGCCAATGCAGAAGTCCACTTCCAGCAGCTGGTTCCGCTGGTCCAGCTTGCCCTGGATGATGTCAGTGTAGACAGCCTCGATGATGAGATCCTCCAGCTCCCGCAGATTCCGCATCTCCAGGTCCTTCAGGAGCACGGAGTAGGGGATGCACTGTTGGCAAGGCAGATGGGGGTCACATACACTCTCAGGTAGCATGCAATCCACAGGTCTGCCCCACAGGCCACAGCTGCCTTGGGGCTGGAGAGAATCATTAGCATCTATGGCAGCACAAGATGGACACAGGAGCTGTGAGGGCTACGGAGAGCTAACCAATCCCTCACGGCATCTGAGAACGTGTTCTAAACCTCAACCAGACTTCAGCTCTGAGAGCCTGGAAATATTCAGAATTTCAAAACTCCTCATATGGAAGAAAAGGGAGCTGCTCCGGACATGCCACTATGCCACCACCTCCCAGAAGCCTGAAAGTCTGCATCAAATGGCAAATGGGTGCCAGCCTCCAACCCAAGCAGGCAAAGAACTGGCTGCTCTGCCCAGCAGAGGACAACCAGAGAGCATGCTGTCCAGCACAGCGCGTCTTCCCTCCACAGTGGCCCAGTCCACTGAGCAACGGCTGAATGGTGGCCTGCCTCAAGACACGGGTGTTGTTTGGAAGAGACATCCCTGTAAGCCTGGCCTCCTTGTCACTTGGCAAGATGCTTCTGCCACACAAGGCATCAGGGCATGCCAGGACTGAGACCGACTGAGTCACAGCGACTCCTGGCCGGACTTTTCCTGAACGCCAACAGTTAGTAAATAATTCCTTGCATTATGTGAAGTGTTATCTCTCTCCCTTTCTTTCTTTGCCAAGCAAATCATAAACACATACGATGAGACTTTACTGTGTGTTGCCACTGGGATGGGCTGGCTCGGGGTGAGGAAGACACCAGGTCAGGGATCGGGACTGTACCTTCATCCTCGAGGCCAGGCTCACGATGGTAAGGTGCTTCAACTTGTTCTGCTGAGCGATGCTCAGTTCTGGCAGGCTCTCCTTGTTGGCTGCTCAGTCCCACCCACCACAGAAATCAAGACACAAAAGGAAGTTAGTATAATTCTTTTGTGGAATGACTTCACAGACTCCCCACATCACATCTCCCTGATTTGCTGTGCTGACTTGGTGTTTATTCCCAGGGGGCACCTCCTGTCTTCTGTGGAGGGCTGTGTGCTTTAAGAGGGAGAGAGTGAGTCTCTCGGCACAGGGGGTTCTGTCTCACCAGGCAGCACACTAAATGATGCAGCATCTCCTCTTGCTTGGGCCTCTGCCATGTGCAATGCACTGTCTTATGTGGTTCAGGGGCATCAAGGGGGACTCAGCAGTTCTTGCAGGGCTGCACAAGTCTAGGTGCACTATCCACCTGAAATGGGCAACTTCCTGGTCCTGGGCTTGTCCCAGTTTTACATCAGGCATCTCAGCAGCTACAAAGGATCAGCAGGATTACCAGAAGAGAGGGGCAAACCACAAGGAGCAAGCAAGCAAGCCAGAAACAACAGCGCTCTCGCGAGGAGCTGACAGGGAGCAGGGCAGGCTTCATGGAGGAGATGGCGACTAAGAAGAGCCATGAAGGCTGAGCAAAATGGAATGGCCACCATCACAGCTACCACAGCTACCACGTATGGCAAGCTCTGCTGAGTGCCCATTCACACACAGACACACACAGCCAGTTAATCCTCACAACCCTACGAGGTTAAGATTCCAAATGTCCTCAAACCTTACCTAGAATTCTGAAGGTCACAAAACTGAATCTAAACTGATTTTGTCTTAAAGCACGGTGCCAAAATTCATCCAGCAGCAGTTTCCGACCTGCACTGCCGCAGGGTTTTGATGCCATTTGCTGTGAACATTCACTTGTTCTCCTGCCAAAGTGCAGCTGTCAGATTCCAGGTGCTGCCACAGCCCTCTGGGACAGCCGCACAAAAAGCCACATGCATCACATGAACCTTTTTCAAGCCCCCCAATTTTAAATTTGCAAACAGCTCGTAAGGAGTGCAGGCAGAGAACCTGTATTGTTACACTAGGAGTCCTAGTGGTGGAGTGGGTTAAGCATTCAGCTGGTAACTGCAGTGGTTCAAACCCCACTCCCCTCAGAACACCTAGGGAGCAGTTCCACTCTATCCTACTGGGTACCTAACAAGCCAGAATCGACCTGATGGCAGTGGGTGTTAGTACACAACTAAGGCACTGAAGTTGTGTGCCAAAGCACATACAACCAGTGGGAACGGAGCTAGGCCTTAAACATAAGCAGCCTGGTTCCGAGTCTACGCAATGCTGCCTCTGTCTTAAGTGAGGATGGAGAGACAGGTAGCACACACAGCACGGGGGGACACAGGCAAAGCTGAGAACCAATGTGGCATACCAGAAAGCTGTGCAGTCTGACAGCCTCAGGGGGAAGCAGAAACAACCAGGGGGAAAGAAGGGGAGTCAGGGAGAGAGGAGGGAAGGCCCTGAGTGTCAGCCATCACTGTACCACTAAAACAGATGCGGGAAGCCAGGAAAAGATCGTTTGGGAAGAAAGTAAGTTTGGGTAAGCACCTCATTCCTGATACTTAAGATTCAAATTTAAAACTCAGACGCCTGAAATGAGAATGAGCTGTCGATGGAACACAGAATGTTTAAAATGACCACAAAGACCAAAAAAAAAAAGGGTAAATGCTTATAAAAGAAGTGAAAAGGCCAAGATATAAAAATGCACACAAAGGCCGTTGCCACCATGTCTTCCAGGCCCAGCGTGACCGCCTTGCAGCGCCTGATGGAGCAGCTCAAGTTGCAGGCCAGTGTAGAGAGGATCAAGGTATCTCAAGCAGCTGCAGAGCTTCAACAGTACTGCATGCAGAATGCTTGCAAGGATGCCCTGCTGGTTGGTGTTCCAACTGGAAGCAACCCCTTTCGGGAGCCTAGATCCTGTGCTTTACTCTGAACACTATAGGGAAGAAGCTCACTAAGTAAGGAATGCCTTCAAGTATGAAGTGATGAATGACTGTCTCCAAGTTTCAAGAAACCATTTCTCTCTAGCCAAACAACTTTTAGGTATTTGAGACCTTTCTTGTGACCTGGTCTTATAACCAAAATTATATAGAAATTGATGGGGTTTTGCTCAAATAAGCAGACTAGGTAAAGGAGGAAAACTTGAAATAATAATAGCCTGTTCCTTTTGGTAACATGCTTTATACTTAAGACAAGCGAACATTTTCCACCAAACACACCAAAATATACCTTCCTTATAAAGGAATTATTGTTATTTCTGTACCTGGAATATCATGTACGTTTTGTTTACCAGATATTTACATTTTAAGAAGAAAAATCTTTTTGCTTATTAAAAAAAAATTGATATTTATAATTTGCCCCTAAGATTTTTGTACCTTAACAAAAATTTGTTTTCCTCATTTCTAAATGAAGATAAGCAAGTATAAGCAGTCTCCAGATTATAACTGAGTTCCATTCCTAAGTCGGATTTGTATTTAAATTGGAAGTTAGGTGTGGTTCATATCTAATGTCAGTTAGTCATAAGTCTTATTACATAGTATACCATTCTATGTATAAAAAGTATTAAAGAACACTTCCAGATACACTAAAACATGCTTAACATGTTTTATAAAAATATTTTGATGTACATCACAAAATGTGTCCATTTGTTATTATGATCCATTGTATGTACCTCAGAATTTTAATATATTAGGCTTTATGGGGATTGGTTTGTAATAATGGGTTGTATGTAAGTCAGATGCTCATAACCTGGAACTAACTGTATAAAATTTTGGGGAAGACTGGGCTTTAATAATGGATGCAGAATTTTTCTAAATGAGAATACAGTTTATTTTTAACCCTAATCATGGGAGCTGTTTCTTATCACACTTGTTTGGAAAGGTTTATGTTGTACTATATGTTAGGTTGCCCCATCTTGTGTATGAAACCAATTTGGCTATTGTCTTAAGTTCCTGTACTAATTTTTCATTACACTTAGAAAAATGCCACTTTATACCTTTGAAAATGTTTAAGATACGACCTATAGAACATTGCAAATGGTTAAATATGGTTTAAGTCTGTGAAAATATTACAACCTAAAAAAAAATTTTTTTTACTATCACAAGTGTTTTATTTTACTATAAGCCTCTGATTTGATTTGGGATACTTTATAAGGTTACTTTGTATTTGTAATAGTCTTTGAAGAGCTTGGAAATAACATTTTTGATTTAAAAAAACAAAAACAAAAAAACAACTGAAAATGCACCGAGTCACATGGCACCTACGTGAGAAGGTCTGAGGAGGGAAAAGATCAGCACCCCAGGACCTTCAGAGTGGCCAACTATGAGGGACTGCTTCCACTTTCTGATTTCCTCAGTTGTTGTTGTGAAGCACCATGGAGTGAGTTCCGACTCATCGTGAGGAGCGACTGGTGAGTCTGAATCAACGACTTTGCAGTCCAGTGCTTAGCCTACAGTGCCACACCAGGACGCCATTTCCCTCAACAGGGTGATATTACTTGGACAACATTTAAAGCATTTCAATCTGACATTTCACAAGAGTCCTAAGGGTGCTGTAAACAGCAGCCCTCCAAACTCTCATTTAGGAAACAAGCAGGGCTCTCTGTGGGGTCCTGGCGTGGTACTGTAAGAGAAACAAGGTCAGCAGTTCAAACTCACCAGCTGTACCTCAGGTCACTGTGAGCAAGAACTGACTTGACGGCACTCACCACCAACAACAAATATGTGGATGAAGATCTGTACCCGTGAAAACCCGACAGGACACTTCTACTCTGTGCCAGAGGGTCGCTGCTAGGAGTCGGAACTGACTCGATGGCAGTAGGTTAGAGGGGGAGGTGTATAAACATAGGCCCCACTTGACCCACCAAGAGGTAAAAGCTGACAAGGGACATTCACTACGAAGTCACCTCAGAGCCCGGTAAAGCTGAAGCAGCCAAGCCAAGCAGTACCCACCCCATGCTTCATATCCCAAACTCACAGCCACACTAACCAGCGTCCCAACTCACCTATGTAGTCGGGGTATGTCCCATAGGCAAACAAGTTCAGCAGCTGCAAATAAGCAGCATTGGCTCCTTCTGCCAGCTGCGGAGGAAACAAAAGTTCACCACAAACCAAGCTGCCTATCGATCACTGCAAGTGTTCACACTGAGGGTGGGGGCCACGTGCCGAAGATGCTGTGGCCGTATTTCCTCTATTGTATGATTAGTCAACCCCAGAGATTCCCTTCCAATTCTGACTGCGGAAAAAGTACGTAAGATGATTAAAACCCCAAAGTTCATTTTTCCTTCTCAGGAAGAAATGCTTGACATTTCATGCTCGACACAGGACACCCAAGTTTCCCACACACGTGCATAAAGCACTAAGCAATTCACATCTCCTCAGGATCCCGGTGCCAGTCAGCCATGGCTGGAGCGGCTGTCCACACACCAGCTTGGCAGGTACAGATCCAGCCACTCGCCAGCCAAACTGAGCAAAGCTGAGGTTTGGCTCCAAGTATCAAGAGACACATGTGGACTATGGTATCCGGGCTAGAGGAGCACAGCAGAAGGGGGCCACACAGGAGTCAGGATAGGACAAAGCACGAGGATCGCAGCATCCCCAGACAGAAGCTGTCATTACAGTTACTTACTCCTCCTTGATGCGGATGGCAAAGGTCCCTTGTCAAAGAAGTGCAACTGCTCCACCTGAAATTACTCTCGACTGCATCTTCCTTTTACTCACAGACACGCCCCTCTTAGTTCTCTCATTTACCAAACTCAGTGAAGTCTAGAGAGGGGTGTTCTGTGAACACCAACAGCAATACCATTTCATTTCAGCCCTCTGTTAAAAAAGGGGCTCCAAGAACTGCATCCTTAACTGCCAACCTGAAAGACAGCTAGTCCATGTAGGAAATAAACTACGGGCAGAGAAAAGATGATTTGCTAACCAGTCTACCTTCTCAGGCTACCAAGAACCTCCTGAATCAGAGCTGGAAGGGAGCTCATCAAGACCAGCAGACTCCAGCCACACCTTTCACACAGGTGACTACAAAACTAGGTGCGATGAAGTAACTTCTCAAGTAGAAACTCCAAAACCTCTCCCACTGGTCTCAACCAATACGGTCTGTCTGCCTAGAATTTTCATCCATCTCCTCTTAACCAATCTTCAGATACCAAACAACCACTTGGTCTATTTACTCAGGCTTTTCATGAACCTAAAGGAAACAAATCACCCCTTAGTCAGCTCTTCTGTTGAAAAAGGAACCTAATTCTAGGAAAGAACCGAATTCTTTTCATCTCTGGTCAATTACTTTTTTTTTTACTGAAAGTCTATAATGTGCCCGATGTAGGTTAAGCTCTGAGAACTTACAATCTAGTAGAGAAGACAAACCCTACATAACAATTTATAGTAAAAAACCACAAGTGCACAGTAGAGTTGAAAAGCATAGGTTGTTTTCCATCTCTTTGCTCTAGCTGGTCATTTCCAACAGCCCTTCTCCTGTTTTAAGGCACAATGACAAAAGTTGGATAGCCCAGGTCTTAACAGCAACAGCAAACTCAACACACAAACAAAGCAAAAAGGACTCCTTCCCAGCTTTTCATGCCATAACTTTGTAACACATCTACTTTAGCTCAAGGGAGCATGATGGCTCATTAGGATAAATACTAGATTGCAAACCACACGATTGGCGGTTCAAGCCCACCAGTCGCTATGAGGGAGAACAACAAGGCTTTCTGCTGCTACAAAGATTTACAGTCTCAAAATTCCTAGCCAGGGTCACTGTAAGTTGGAAACGACTCGACAGCAGCAAACAACACACTTCAATCCAACATTGCCCTCTTTCACTGGACAGTATCTTCCTGATTCAAGTCTAGCTGACTGCCAGTAGGCATCATTCCTGCTGCTCATGGGCAGGCCAATCTTCCTGACCTAGATTACTATGGCAGGGTTTGTGTCCCTCAGAATACCTGAAACCTCCTCTATTAAACAAGCATCAGGCCAAACGACTTTTATCAATTTCAATGTGATTTTTTTCTTCTATCTTTCTGATTGTTAGCAAGCCAATTTAATTCCACCCTACGTTCAGATGAAAATATTCACTAGAAGGATCCCTTTCCTGCCCTGTCCCCTCCTTTACCAGGGTCCACAATGCTGCCTCAACTGCAGTTCCTTGGATACTCGAAGAATCACAGAAAGACGTAGAGATGATAGAGCAAGTGTCTGGGAACAGCTTACCTCCTGCACATTGGTCAGCTCCAGCAGTTCTCCAAAGACATACACTCCAGGAGCCTCCAGGACTTGGCTTATGAGAGCGGTGAGGGCTGAGCCACTGGTGCCTTTGGCTAGTAGAATAAACTGTTCCAAGAGATTACTTGAGGGTTTCTGTTCACCTGCCATTCTCTGATCTTGATATCTGTCCAAAAGAAAAGTACCAGTCATTCCTCTTTTCTCTTTGCAATGCAGTTGGATGTTTATTTGCCATTGGAACCCATACCAGAAGAACTGAGGGTGCTCATAAAGAACAAAGAACTCCGAGTCAGACACAATGACCACTTTGATAGATGTCTGGGCATCAACCTGGACTTAACGGGAATCTTGTCCTCCTCAGGAGCCCTGAGGGTACAGTAGGTTGAGGGCTGGGCTGCTAAATGAAAGGTCGGTGCCCGTGATTGGAAACTACCAGCTGAGATGCAGGAGGAAGATGAGGCGCTCTGCTCTTGTATACAGATTTGTAGCCTTGGAAACCCTAGGAAGCAATTCTACTGTCTTAGAAGAGTTGGAAATCAACTCGACGGCAGTGGGTTTTGGGTTTTGTACTTGTTCCGAGGTTTGGGACACTCTTTGTAAAAGCCTCTCCAGTCCCATCTGCTAGAGGCAATACAGCTGATTCCTTACACCTGACCAGAACCCAAGCCCCAGGCAGGAGTTTATCAGTAGCCATTTTATATCCATCCCACTGATGAGACTCTTAGGGCTAACAAAAGAAGGTACTGTCCTATCCACAGCACAAAGGCAGTTACAGCTCCCATTTTGTAGTCCACATTAGAACTACAGTCAGTGACATACAAGGAAGCTGCAATGCCATTTTGTTGATCAGGGACAGGGTCCTTCAACCACAAACCGCACACAAGAAAGGTCTCCAGTCACTGAAGAAGTTAGTTCAGCATGAAAAAAGGAGAAAAATCACGTTGAAAGATAAGCAGCAACAGAGTTAAACTAGGAAGGTACATACTGTGTGACTCCATGAGGAAGCCCTGATACAGGGCCATTTCCTGATAATTGTCTTTTTACAAAACATGACTTCTGAACTTATGCTCATACAAAACTTCAGGAAAGCAATAAGAAGAGGATTTAGGAAACAGTGAAGATATCGTGTTACCCAAAAAGGTCCCTCAACTGTGTACCGTATCTATATGGTTACACACTGTATGAAGCGGCTTCAAAAAGTGGTGGGGAAATTCCAGTATCTTTTAAGTCCATTTTTCCATCAACATTTTGAAGCCCTCTTGTACACCTACTCTGTAGGCATCTGTATACGGTTAACCCCCCAAGAATGACACACACGGAAGCCAAAACCCACCGTCATGGAGTCGATTTCAACTCACAGTGACTCTATAGGACAGAGTAGAAATACTCCTTAAGGTTTCCAAGATGTCGATCTTTATGGGAGCAGACCACCTCCATCTGTCTCCAAAGGAGCAGCTGGTGAGTTTGAACAGCTGACCTTGCAGTTAGCTGCCCAATGCTTAAATCCACTGCAAATTAAGGACAGAGGGTGTAGCAGAGCGAAGCAGAGAATGATTCAAGGAAGGGTACTTTGGTGCATGAGAAACGAAGTTTTCCTGTGGAAACTGGCACAAAGAGCTGCACTTACAAAGTATTCGGGAAACAAGTGTTAGCTCACATAAGAAGGTCTTCCCAGCTACAGAGCCCTGATGTGGCACTGTCGGGTAAGAACTAGACGGCACGGCCAGCAGTTCAAACTCACCAGTCACTCCTCAGAAACCCTATACAGAATCAATATGAGTCAGAACTGACTCGACAGTACTAAAAAAAAAGGTTAAATAAACAACGACAACCAAGAACAGAAAAAGTGAGGTGCTGACAACCTCAAGGTCAGCAGTTCGAAACTACCTGCCCGGTCCGCGGGAGAAAGATGAGGCTTTTGCTCCCGTAAAGATTTACAGCCTATGCAGGGTCGCTGTGAGTCGGAACCGACTCCTCAGCACATCACCACCACCTCCAAGAAACAAAGGACTCCAAGAAGGGCAAGGTGGCTGTGGGTGTGTTTGGAGATGTTGGCTAAAAGGGGCAGGGAACCCACCCACCCCCGTTCCGAGTGGATAAGTGGGAGGAGACGGATGGCATGTGTCTACAGAGACCTGATAAAAGGGGCTAGTGTGGAGAGGAGACAACGATATAGACATAGTCTCAATTCTCCCCTCAAAATCTCGTTTAGGGTCAAACCCTGTGGGGGCAGGAAGATACCCGCTTTCTTCTGGAGGAGGAAGATCCGAGGCGGCGGCTACCGTCTGGACAGGAGGACTGCCGTCAGGGAAGGGCGCAATTCTAATGGGCAGGAGCAAGGCGTAGGGGCAGCCTTTGGGGAGTCGGGGAGCAAGCGCAGACGCGGCGCGTATGCTAGGGGGTCGCAGGCCGAACGGGACCTAACGCCGGCAGTGTGCTCCACGCTGGGCCGCGGGCGCGGAGTAAGAAGCCGCGGGGCGTGCTCCACCCGGCGGGGGCGGGGCGGCGTGCGAGGGCTTTCCCGGAGGCGAGCGCGAGGCTGGGCCGTCCGATCGAGACCGGCGCGCCGTCCTCTCGCCGGCCCCGTCCTCTCGCCGGCCCCTACCTGTCCACGCCGCTTCCCTGGCTTCTAAGTCGCTGGTTCGGCCTCCCGGCGCCTGCCCGCAGGTTGTCAAGCGTCCATGGTCGGCACGGCGTCCGGTGCCTTTCTGCCTCCGCCGACCCGTTGCCTATGCCGTTCCCCCCGGAAGCCTCCTCCCGCTGCACTAGAGTTCCGCCCCCACAATGTTCCCTCACTGCGATCTCAGTTTCAGGGATCGGACTTCTATAAGGAGTGGGTCCAGGGCAGGGCTGGAGTCCGGACTCCGGGTGGGAGGAAGATGGCAAAAGACCTAAAGAGAGGATTGCAGCTTACGTGCGCCTGAGCCCAACCATCGTGATTCGCATCCTGAGCCCGAAATCCACCCCCACTGGCTGTGCTTTTCCCTTCAGGTGTGCTCTATGGCCATTTTGGCCAACTTTGAGTTTGTACACATAATGACAACTACGATTTATGGAGCATTTTTTCCCCATGTGCCATATAATATTACTACTTTTAACAGTATTCCATGACCTGTAATATTTATCTAATTTTGCGGTGAGTTAATTAAGCCTCAAAGCCAAAAGCTCGTAAGTGTAAACGGTCACATTGGAACCTGGCTATCTGACGTCAGAGACCATAGTCTCAGAAACTGTTTTAAAATATGCAAAAGATGGGCTGAGCCAACAATGGCTGTATGAACACAAGGTCATTCATTTGGGAAGATAGCTAAATAATGTCATGCCATTAAACATTTTAAATGGTTCGTTTAAAGTATACATACACCACAGTCTTCCAGGTTTGGAAGATGAAGAAAAGGGGGGGGGGAGTGGGGGAGCAGGTAGGATTATGTGGGGCACATAAAGTTTCTCTGAATCCCTTCTAGATCCCTTGACAGATGCATACAATTTGGCGGAGGTGGTGGAAACTCCGAGGCCATACATTTTTACAGGAGCAGAAAATCGTATCTTTTCTCTTATGAAGCTGTTGGTGGATTTGAACTGCTGACTTTGCAGTTAGCAGTCCAACATGAAACCCACTACCTTAGGGTGCCTAAAAATGTAGTATTCACAGGGACCTGGAATCAGGGTGAGAACGGTAACTTCCAAGTAACAAACATTTTTGCCATCATGTTATTGTTGTTAGGTGTCGTCATGGAGTTGGTTCCAACTCATAGCAATCATCTAGGGTTGCCGTCCTAACAACCCTAAAGGACAGTATAACTGTTCCCTAGGGTTTCCAAGGCTGTAAATCGTTACAGAAGCAGACTGCCACGTCTTTCTCCCATGGAGGGCTGGTGGAGCAGCTGGCAGAGCAGCTGGCAGTTTCGAACCACTGACCTTTTAGTTAGCAGTCAGACACCCTGTAAAAACAGTAATTTAAAGCACATGCCCTTTTCTTGTTTCAAACCTTCATATAGGTTCCCTGCCAACTGCTGCAGAGACTGCCCAATAAGCCACAGTGAATGAAAATGTAGGTGGGTGCTATTTGTCCCATGGGTCACAGAGGAGTTAAAAATCATCACCAATGAGTTTTGGGAGCATAGAAGAGAATAAGTTGGGGGTGGGAAGAAATCTTCCAAGCAAAAAGTGAAAGGAAAATAAACATTTTCAGGCCAAGAAATGGTGGCCTCAGTCACAGAGTCTTGCCTTTTGCAGCATATATTGATGTTAAAAAACAAAACAAAACCTCAAAGTGGCTGGAAACACAGCTTAGGTATTAGAAATGAGAAATTCAGAGGCTGGGATCAGTCAGGTCGTGAAAGGTTTTGGAAGCAACATGCCAAGCTCTAGCTGCACAGGAAAATCTAAATATGACAAAATTCGTACCTTGGAGAAGATAGGCCTGTCAGAATGGCTACAGGCACCACAGGTGCAATGATAAGCATCTCCTACCTCTGCCTGGTGTAATATTGTAAGACTTCTGGTGTGGCACTATGGATCAGCACTGGACAGTGAACCACAAGGTCAGCATTTCAAGCCCACCAGGAAGCCCTACTATACAGGGTCACTGTGAGTCAGAACCTTAACAATAACAACAAATGACTTACTCATGCAAATACCTTTTTTAACAACATAAAAGACAACTTTATCTATGGACCTCACCAGAGAGAATACACAGAAATCAAATTGACGACATCTGTGGAAAGAGACAGTGGAAAAACTCCATATCATCAGTCAAAACAAGGCCAGGGACAGACTGTGGAACAGACCAGCAATTGCTCTTATGCAAGTTCAGGCTGAAACTGAAGAAAATGAAAACAAGTCAATGAGAGCCAAAATATGACCTTGAATATATTCCACCTAAATTTAAAGATCATCTCAATAACAGATTTGATGCACTAGATACTAATGACCAAAAACCAGAAAAGTTATGAGATGACATAAAGAACATTGTTGTTGTTGTTATGTCCCGTGGATTCGGTTCCGACTCATGGCGACCCTGTACAGGGTTTCCGAGGCTATAAATCTTTATGGGAGCAGAAAGTCTCATCTTTCTCCCATGGAACTGCTGGTAGTTTCAAACTACTGACTGTAAGGTTCTCAGCCTGATTCGTAACCACTACGCTACCAGAGCTCCTTTAAAGAACATTATACAGGAAGAAAGCAAAAGGTCATTAAGAAGGAAAGAAAGACCAAAATGGATGTCAGAAGAGACTCTGAAACTTGCTCTCCAGCATAGAGATGCTAAAGCAGATGGAAGAAATGAGGACGTACAAGAGCAAAACAGAAAACTTCAAAGGGCAGCTCGAGAAGAAAAAGTATTAGAATGAAACGTGCAAAGACCCAGAGTTAAACCAAAAAGGGAGAATATGCCCAGCATTTCTCAAGCTAAAAGAACTGAATAAAAAATTCAAACCTCGACTTGAAATATTGAAGGATGCAGAAATTATCAAGAGAACATGAAAGGAATATACAGAGTCACTGTACTAAAAAGAATTGCTCAGTGTTCAACCATGTCAAGAAGTAGCATATGATCAAGAGTCAATGGTACTAAAGGAAGAAGTCCAAGGTACTCTGAAGGCATTCGCAAAGAACAAGGCTCCAGGAATTAATTAAATACAAATTGAAATCTTTTAACAAACTGATGCAGCACAGGAAGCACTCACTCATCTATGCTGAGAAATTTTGAAGACAACGACCTGGCCAACTGATTGGAAGAGCTCCATATTTATGCCCATTCCAAAGAGAGGTGACCCAACAGAATGCAGAAATCATCAGACATTATCATTAATATCACATGGAAGTAAAATTTTGCTAAAGATAAATCAGTAACAACTGTGACAATACATTGGCAGACTATGGCCAGAGGTTAAGCAGGATTCAGTTGAGGGCATGGAATGAGGGATATCATTGCTGACTTCATAGATCTTGGCTGAATGCAGAGAATACCAAAAGTATTTACCTGTGTTTTATTTACTGTGTGGATCATGATAGATCATGACAAACTATGGATAACATTGCAAAGAACGGGTATGTCAGAACACTTAATTGTGTTCATGAGGGTTCTTGAACATAGGCAGTCATTTGAAAAGAACAAGGCGTGAGAAATAGCTTTTGGGGTGATCCATCTTCAGGATTAAGGGGAATCTTGGGGATAGCAGGCTGGCATAACAAAAGGGAGCTCAGAGGAGAGGAAGAGACTAATTTGACCAAATAGACTCTTAAAATAAGAATACACACATCAAGGAAATAGGGGAAGTTCATGGGGAGGGGGCTGAAACTAACTTTACATGAGAATGCTCCCAGTATGGACTAGTAGTCAAAATATGGGAAAGACTGTAAACTCCAAAACACCCAGTAAACTGGGGAAATGGAGGAGGGGCTTTTTCCAAGACAGGAGAATAAAACTGTTTTCAAGCCAGCCATGCCCTGTGTACTGGGTGCCTGATATTGCAAAATGAAATAAAGAAAACCTCTCTCTCTTTAAAATGAGTACATGTTGGACTACTTGAGCATTTGTCAGTATCGACAACATTTCTCACACAAGGGGACCAGTGTGTAATTGTTTACCAATTCAGTAATTGTTTAAAATCAGGAAAGGTTTGTGCCAGGGTTATATTCTTTCACTATATTTATTCAATCTGTTGTTTGTTAAGTGCTGTCGAGTCAGTCCCGACCCATAACAACCCTGTATAAGGTTTCCAAGAAGCAGTTAGTGAGCTTAAACTGCCTACCTTGCAGTACATACTGGCCTTGTAGTCCAGCGCATTAACCCACAGCACCACACAGGACTGCATTCAACCTGTATGCTGAGCAAATAATCCAAGAAAATGGATTATCTGAAGAAAAATGTGGCATCAAGATTGGAGGAAGACTCATTAACAACCTACAATATGCAGATGATACAACCTTGCTTGCTGAAAGTAAAGAGGCCTTAAAATACTTCCTGATAAAGATCAAAGACCACAGCCTTCAGTATGGGTTGCATCTCAATGTTAAGAAAATCAAAAAACCCTCACCAATGAACCAACAAAAAAAATCATGATAAATGGAAAAAAGATTGACATGTCAAAGACTTGATTTTGTTTGGATCCACTATCAATACTCATGGAAGCAGCAATCAAGAAATCAAACAATATATTGCATTTGGAAAATCTGCCAAAGACCTCTTTAAATGTTCATGGACTAGAGGGTACACACATGTAACATGGGTGACAGAACAGGCATTATACAACAAGAGGAGGGTAACAGAGGAAAGAGGAAGGTAGCAGGAAACATGGCGGGGCGGAGGTGGGGGGGGGAAGCAATAGTTAATGTGACTAGAGGTTGTAATAGGGTTCTGTGTCAACTTAACTAGGACAGGCTCTCCAGTGGTTTAGTAGTTAAGATGGGCTTATTCCCATGTGATGAAACCTAATACAGGCATAGTTAACTCTAGGATGAGTGGCTATGAGCAGCCAATCAATTGAAGGGATGATGCTTCCTTGGGGGTGTGGCCTGCTCCTAATATAATGGACACACGGGAAAGGTGCTCTCTCTCTTCAGGCGGGGACCTGCGACTGTAAAATTGTAAGTCATTTATTTAATAATAAACTTCTCTTTATATATAATATATATATATATATATTTCACTGGTTTTGCTTCTCTAGAAAACCCAGCCTATGAAATGTGG